ATACTGTATAGCACAGGGAATCACAGAGGAAAAAATGTGATAATGAATGTGTACATGTCCATGTATGACTGAAAAATTGTGCTGAACACTAGAATCTGACACAAGATTGTAAAATGATTATAAATCAGTAAAAAATGTTTTAAAAAAACATTAAAAAGAAAAGAATGTGAAACTTACCTAAAATTGCAGAGAGGTCAGGAAACTGTGGTGCCTTCTCTATTGCTACTGCTTTACTGGTATCCAAAAGAGTGGAATTCTTACATAGCAGGTTTTCTTCCAACTTGGGATACTCCCTATCTAAAGAAACAGTAAGAAGTGGCACAAAACTTTGAGTAAGAGCACACAAGTGGCAGGTTACCTTTTTCTCCCTAACTTAGGTCCCCAGCCCATACCATGCTACGGTAATTGAAAGTTTTGGATGCGACAGAGGAAAAAGACAAGCCTTGATGGCGTCAAGGTAGTAAACAATCTTTGGGCTATTGCAGTGCTCCACCTGCTTTCTTTCACATAGTTTTGCCTTATAAAGATTATTGATCTAAGACAGTGATGCAAAGTGTGTGTGAGGGATGAAGAAAAAGTGTAGAGTTTTTGTTAATTTGTTATCAGCTTAAAACAGATTGTTAAAACTATGTTTGATTTAAGTCCATGGTAACCACACACACAAAAGTACCCATAGAAAATACACAAAAGAATAGAAAGGAATCAAAGCATATCAGCATAAAAAAGTCAATGAAAGACAAAGGAACATAGCAAGAGAGGAAAGAGGGGCAAAAAGAACTACAAAAACAGAAAACAATGAACAAAATGGTAAGTCCTTCTCTACTACTAATTACTGTAAATATAAATGGCGTAAACCAGATCAAATGACACAGAGTGGCTAAGACAGCATACATGGGAGCTGCCTCTCATATTTTATGTATAAGCTTTATGTATAAGCTTTAAAACTGACATCAAGGAATAGCAGTTTGTTATTTAGTGACATGATAGTTAATGGGACACAGGTGTAACTGAGCTTGTGATCTGTAGTCCTATGTGGCTGACTATGGAACACAATGGATAGTGGGCAGAAGAAAGTATGGCGAGGAAGACAAGTACACCTCCTCAAAAGGAACATTATTCATTGCAGTGTTTGTGGACGAGGAACAACTTCTATACTGAACAACTCAAGACTGAAATTATTTTCTCACCTAAACAATAATCTGATCCTCTGAAGATTTCAGGTGATGGGAGGCTACTTAAACTCTCTTCAAAACTCTTGTTTTCTGTATAAGAGTCTGTGATTGAATAACTTAGAAGAGAGCTAGAAATATCATGCTGCAAACTTAGTCCTGTAGAATAAGCAAACACATAAAAAGGGTAAAATGTTTTAATAGTAAACGATTCAAAATCCTAAGAATTCAAATTTGTAGAAATGTATATGCAGTTGTATACTAAGAATGTAAAATTAAACATACAACTAAAAAAGCATACTATGGTACACAACTTTAATTCCAATTTTAGAAAATAATTATGTTTTTGATGTGGAAAAATACATTATAAACCATTTCTATTTTCAAAGTTTTGTAATTTATTCCTTTCCTACTTTGGTTCAGTTGTAATTCTTCACTCAAAAATTCAAGTTTTATATAAAAGTAACCCATTGGTTGTAAGCTAACTAGCTGAGGAGAAGAAAGTGATTCCAGTTACTCCATTTAAAAACTATGAGCCTAAACATAAACTCAAAGGAACACACATCAGGGGAACTGAACATAGAGCTCAGGAATAGACTCACATACATGTGCAACTGATTTTTGACCAAGAAGCAAAGGCAATTCAGTGGAGAGAGGACACTCTTTTAAACAAATTATGCTTGAAAAACTGGATATCCACATGCAAAAGCAAAACAAAACCAAAAACTTACTCATACCTTCCATCATATAAAAAAGTTAACTCTAAATGCCTCATAATTCTTAGCGTAAATCCTAAAACAACTTCTAGGAAAAAACAGAGGAGAAAATCTTCATGACACTGAGTTAGGCAAAGATTTCTTTGATATAACAGTAAAGGGATGATTCATAAAACAGTAACAATGATAAATTAGACTTCATCAAATTTTAAAACTTCTATTCAACAGAGACAGTTAAGGTGAGAAGACAAGCCATAGATTAGGAGAAAACATTTGTAAATGGACTGGAATTCAAAATATAAAGAACTCTTAAAACTCAGTAATAAGAAAACAAATATCTCAATCGGAAATTGGGGAAAATATCTGGACAGAAAATCTCCCAGACTTAGAGGTTTTTAAAGTCATCCCTGTGAGAGTAAACTAGATGAAAAACTTCCTAATAAACGACAGGGATAGAACTTAGTACTTAAAGTTAAGAACCAGAAAGTTTAGTAAGAAAAGGGAAGACATACTCTGCTATAATCAGTCAACATTTATCAAGTATTTTCAACAGGGCAAAATAGAGATCAACACTAATAGAAACTGGTGGGGTGGGGTATAAAGGATGAAAGAGAGCATTGCTCTGAAAACCCGTTATCTCCCAGCCTGGAGTTAGCTGACTTATACCTGTCTCTGCTCACTCATTACCCACCGGAGACAACTAACTCTTCGTCCTTCCTGTTTTGACCTCGTTACACCATTCTCTTCCACTCCAAGCCCCTCCTTAAAGTTGATAGTTGTTTTCTACCTGGCCACCTCCTCCAGCCACCACTGCAACACTTAAGTTGACTGGCCCAATCCTTCCTTCATCCTTCACGTCCTCAGACATCACAGGTAGGTTATTCCCTCCGAGTATCTTTTACTTCCCCTATTTTAACTGCCCTAGATTGCCCTTCCCTATCCTTGCTACTTTTACTTTCTCATTCTATCTTCAACCTTCTCACCCAGATGTTGTTACACCTCTCTTGTGTTCCATCTCTCAAAATTCCATGAATATCATGCTCAAGAGAGCTATCTCTTCCACAAAAACCCAGAACTCAAGCCAGGCTCAGTAATTAGGAAAGCCCTGTGCTCACAATCTGAGTAGCTGGGTAGAGAAAAGAATAAACAAATGTTCATGACTGTATCAGTAAAAGGTTGTTCCTCGTGTCACAAGTTAGAAATAAAAATGAATTTAAATTACATTTACATCAATTTATACCATACATTTTAAAAAGTCAAACAGTTCTACAAGGCTTTTATCAAAAACTGCAACCTCTCATAGCTCCCCACTGTAATTTCCTATTCTCTAGAGATACCTATTTTCAACTCTATTAACTCTACTGTTTAATTTAATGTCTATCTTTATATTTATAAATTAACTGTATTCAATGATTTTATCACTATGGTTGCTCAAATATTTTTACAGCTGAGCCATGTACTAGGAGCCATATTATCTATATCATCATTTTGCTACAGGTTTTTGTTTTTCCCCTGAGTTATTGATTATTTGATTTTAAAATTAGTTTTCTAATATCCATTTCATCCCAACTTCTTACAGAAGTAGAAATTTCCTAGCAATACGGAAAAAAAATTGCCAGAGCATCTATCAGCTCCTTTCTTTTTCTTTCTTTCCTTCCTCCCTGCCTTCCTATCTTTTTCTCCTTCTTTCTTTCCTCCTTCTTCCCCTCCCTGCCCCCCACCTTTTTAAAGTATTCCTGTTGGAGAGCTCAATACACTTGCTCAAATTTGGACTGGTTGTTGTCCTCTAGACTGCTGCACAGATGTATTTCTGGGATTTCTCTTTACCATTATCTTAAGAAATTCTTTCACATATTTCCTGTATTAGAACCTTTGATTTCTGGATCCCATGATTTCTTCTTTACTGATTTATTCTCTAGTTTTGTTGGAGTATCTTCTTCATTTCCTGAGAAAAGATGCACAGAAGACCTGTCTAAAAATTTCTTTATACTTTCTTCACTTTTGAGTGATTGTGTAGCTGGGTACAGAATTCTAGACCAGAATATTAAAAAGAGTGACTATATTTTTTGGTGCTTGACAGATTTAAACCTCACTGCTCCATCTTCCCCTTCTGCCCCACATCTGGCCAAGCTGATAAGCCCTGGTGCCCCATCTTTTGGCAATGCCGGCAGGCAAGTTAAAACCATGCATGGAAAGCCTCATCCCAGCCCTACCCTCTAACCACCTAAAAACCCCAAACCAGTCTCCTTTCCGTACTCTCTGAAGCCATTCTCAGTCCTTCTCAGGAGACACCCTCCTCTCCAGAAGGCCTCATTCTATCAGTAGTAAACCTTTCAATAGACTCTTGGTATGTTGGTGGCATCATTAATCTTGAAATTTGAGGCAAATTTTGGGTGAAGCTCTACCCTATGTCTGCAAAATCAATTCCCTTCAGAAAAAGAAATGCATTTTCCCACCATGTTTTAGCTTCTGGAATTGCTCTTGAGAAGTTCAATGCTATTCATATTCTTGCTTGCTTATTTGCAATCAGTATTTTGTTTTCTCTGGAAGACTCAAGGATTTCTCTATCCCGAGGATTTTTAAATTACATAATGTTGTGCCTTGGTGTGGATCTTTTTCATTCACTGTGATGGGCAGCTGGTGGTTTAATAATTTCCTTTCTATCTACCTTGTAATGTCTGGAACTACTATTTTTCAGATGTTAGAATGCCTGGACTCATCTTCTAATTATTTTTCTTTTTGAAATAGCAGCTTTATTGAAATAAAATTCATATTACATAAAACACAGCCTTTTAAAGTACACAATTCGGTGGTTTTTGGTATACTCACAGAGTTGTGTCACCACAATTTCTACCATTTATCTTCTCTTTGATATCTGTTCAACTTTTGGAGTATTTCCTTAAAATCATCACCCAACCCCTCATAGAATTTTTATTTCTGATTTCATATTTTTATTTTTTAAGAATCCTTTTTGTTCTATGAGTGTTCCTTTTTAGAGCTGCCTGCACTTGTTTCGTGGACTTTTTTTTCAATATCCTGAAGATGATAATGAAAATACGACCTTTAAATGTTTCTTTTCTATGCATTGTCTGTGTCCTTCAAGTTTCTTTTTATTTGGTATCTATCTTTTTTTAAAATGTTTTTTAAAAATGACTAGTAATTCTTGAATGCTCAAGAATGAGGCACTAAAACAGCAATTGGAAACTCAGGATTCATGAGTGGGATCTAGGAAGTAATGGGCTTTACTGAAGGGTATTTGGACAGGGACCAGATCATGACTGCCAGAATACAGGTCTTCTCCTGGGCAAAGAAGTTTCCAAAAGAGGAATCTTACAGTCTCTTAGTTGAGGTGTATTTTCCCAAGTTGTGGTAAGGAGTCTGGGTTTCACCACAAAGTATACAGACTTTACTTAATTCCCTTCCTTCCTCCTTCCACACCTCACGGCTAGATTTCAATATAGCACCCTTAGCAGTAGCTAGCATCCCTGAGTTCAGACCCTCTTCTTCAACATCTCTGGACTGCCGTGGTGGGAAAAAGAGTAGCCATCTGGTCACAGTGTCGGGGAAGAAATCAAAGTGTCTTTAACTGCTACTTTTACAGATTTCCAAAAATCCTATTTTCAACATTATCTATATCTTTTTTTCAGGAATACACAATGCCTCTAATTCCTGAACCTACAGCCTTTGTCAGTTTGCTTCATGGTTTGACATCATTCTTAGGTACCTAGATTTCAGTGTCCCCCCCACTTTTTTTGGTCTGTTTGACATGTTAGGCCTATTATAATTTATTCATCTACCTTCCAGATTCCAAACTCTTGTTGATTATCTCTTGCCAGCTAAAATCTCTTCTCTCCCCTTTCCTCCACCTTTTGGTTTCATGCCTTTTTTATGCCTTTAATGGTATTTTAGTGAGATTTCAGAACAGAGAAGTAAATGTATATGTTTAATCCTCAACATTAAACAGGAAATCCTGAGTTAATTTTCATCATGCTGCAAAATCACTAGATTCTAAGATAAAATTAAAACAATTAATTACATGTTAAATAGAATTCTATAGGCTACTCAAAATCTAACCACTTACATTTTATTATGGGAAAAAGTATTCTAGGTCTCAAATATCAATTGACAAATGAACTTAGAACACAACCAGTTTGTAAATTAGAGACAGTCTATTTTCTATTTCCTCATTCTTTTTGCACATAAACTTGATAAAGGTAGTAACCAAGGACATTTATCATATGTTTAAACTATAATTTTAGAAAATACTGATGATGGTTAAATTATCTACTTCCTCTAAATAGAGTAGAAAACTCATTCAACAAGCATTTCAAACTATATTATGTCCCAAGCATGGGATAGGAAGATAAAAGTTACTGCTTATTTTCAATGGCTTTAAAGCCTAGAAGAACAAAAATGGTTATACTGTTGTTTTGACTCCTATAATGGAAGTATACAAAGAGTGCCAGAAAATTACCAGGATAGAACAACTCATCTAGAAAGGGAGAGGTGCGATCAGGAAAGGCTTCCCAGTAGAGATGACACCTGAATCTATTTTTGAAGAACAAGTAGAAGTTAATAGATAAAGAAGGGAGAAGAAGGAAAGAAAAAAACCTCTGTTGAGCACCTCCTATGTTCCTCTGCTCTGTATTTTAAGAAAATTCCTCTATTCTATTCTCTAGCTAATTAATTTGATTTTCAGCTGAATACATCCCAATATTAGGCTCATTTCCTGAGTTTTTAAATTTGGCGATATTTTAAGCTTCCAGGGACTATAATTTTTTTTCTAGAAGCCCATTATATTATGGATTCAATGGACTTTTATCTCTAGAGAGATATTTACTTGTCTCTACAGGGATCTTTAAAGTTTTCTACCATTACCTCGGGTGCTAATTTCTCTGTCTGTCACATTTGTGGTCTCTCTTCCATAGCATAAATTTCTTCAAATGTTTGCTGTTCCTGAATATCTGTTCGTATCTCCATTTGATAATCTGTTTGTATGGCAGTGAGTATAAATTCTGAAACAACAGCCTGCCTCTGGAGATTTTAGAATAGTGATGAGACATTCTGAGAACTTATGCTTTGGGTGGGGATGCCCTCCTGTATTTTCTGGGTATTTCAGGTTACATGGGAGCACTGCCCTAATTGTTTAGCAAGTATCCACATTGGAAGTTTCCTGTATCAGAATTCTTACTTCAGAGAGCCATACTTTATCTTTTTTTCTGGGGCTTAGAAGCATAAGCATAATGTACATCTTTTACTTTTTCACCCCTGTGCCATCCTTGTGGCAATGTGGAGTTACTTCAGACTCTCCTCTGCCTCTCATTCCAGCTCCAGCACTGACCCTTAGGAACAAGCCCTTTAGTTCACTTTGCTTGGGAGCAATTCCCATGGTTTTATCTTGGCAATAGGCACTGGTCGCTGCCAGTGTTTGCAATATAAGAAAGGGAAAGAAGGGGGCCAAGTCATGTAGTGCCAGAATACAGTGCTTAATCCATCACCTTGACAATTCCTTCAGGGTCCCCTCTATTATAGTGTTTTGCATTTATTGATCAAGCATTTTGAGTTAAGTATTATCTCCAGAGCTATTCTTATCTCTGCAGTGCTTTTTCTCTGCTCTTCATATATTCATTATTCTGATCTCATTTGCTTTTAAGAATTCCTCAGTATTTCTGGTGTGTTGATGGTATCCTTTCTTGTTTTTTAAAGTAAATTCAATTACACCAATATGTAGATGGCTCACAAATTTCTATCAGCAGCCCCCTCATATCCAACTGCCTATTTGACACTGCTACTTAGTCATCTTAAAGGCATTCATAATTTATTAAAAAGATAATTTATGATCTCTCCCTCAAACAAGATTTTTTTCAGTGAATGGCATCACCTTATACCCAGTTATGCAAGCCAGAAACAGGGGTCATCTTTGATACCTCTATCTTCTTCACCCCTCATTTGCCAAATTCTGTCTATTTCACTTCCTACAACAGCCATAAGATATGCCCACTTCTTTCCATTTCCAATATCATCCCTTAGTACAAAGTGCCATCATTCTTCCCTTAAACTACTGCAGTAGCCTCTTAACTCTAATTGCTTCCACTCCTCCTTCTATCCGTACTATAGCTAACGTGATCATATCATTCCCTATTTGAATGACTTCAGAGGCTTTCTGCTGCTCCAGAGATAAACACCAGTATCTCTGACCTAGCCTACAAGGCTTTGCAAGGCCTGTGTCTGTCCAACCTTGTCTTATTATCACATCTCCTCCTTCTCGCTCTACTTCAGCCATGCTGGCCTTCTTTCAGTTCACTGAACGCACAATGCTCAGTCCCATGTTGGGGTCTTTGCACATTCTGTTCCCTCTGCCTGGATTGCTCTTTATTCATCTCTCTGCATATGCACAGTTAATTTCTACTTTTTTTCAGATCTCAAAGAAATTGGCATTCCTCCATGGAAGCCTTCCCAAATCTCTCCAACTAAATTCAGTTACACCCAAGTCAACCTCTCTTTCAGAGCACTTATCACAATTATAATTTACTGGTGTGTGCCTGAAAGCTTTAGGAATGAAGTCCAGAGCACAAGCAGAAGGGTTCAGCTTGCACCAGGAGAAAGACACCTCTTCCACTGAGATGACAAGGTGGGGTAGAGATACAAATGGTTACTTACATGCGTAAGAAAACAAGCTGTGTATGTTCATATCTGACAATCTTACCTGATGTTAGTTCACTATTTGATGAACTACTGTCAACCTGGAGATAATATGTCTCCGACTCCTATGCGAGATAAGAAAGATATAGCACAAATTATGAGATTGAATATTTTTATATTACAATATTATATCACATTGATTTGGCTACTTTGAAAATATTAGGAAAAACTAATGTTGACTTCGTATGCCAGTTTCATATGGAACAGATTCTTTCAGCTGATTGATATAGATGTAGTCTGATATTTAATATTAAATCTAGAAATAAATCTTAAAATATAATGTTGTGGACATATCTAAGGAGTCAACAATATAGTAGTCAACCAACTGTTGTGGGATAACCCAGCAACTAGAAGACAGAGATTAGATTCTTTCTAATCCCCTAGATAGGAAGGGCTTTTTTCCCTCTAAATATGAAAGTAAAATAAATTTTAAAAAAAGACTGATACATAAGTTTAAAATATCAAAAATATAGTTTAACAAATATGGAAGTATTTGTCATATGTGTGTGCAAAAGTATAAATATCTTCAATATCTAATGAGCATTTCACAAAAAACCATACAAATGGCCAATAAAATGAGAAAAAAGTATCGACTTTATTAGCATTCAAAGAAATGGAAAGTGAAACAACGTGCTACCTTTCATCCATCAAATATATATATATGTATATGTAGATTATGTGTATATATGTATTTATACTTTAAGTTTCAGGATAAGATGGTGCCAATTGGCCAAATGAATCAAAAGCTTTAAACATAATCTAACCCTTGACCCACTGCAAAGTAACTGTCTTAGGATAACAATTTGAGGTACACAAAAAAATTTCTGTGAAAACCTTGGAAAGCAATCTCAATCCTCCAACCCCAGAAAAATAGTTATAAAAATTACAATATATCTATCTATAAGACAAAGCACTATGCGGGCACTAAAAACCATATTTTTGAAAATTATTTAATGTTAGAGGAATATACAATAAGATACTCTGTAAAAATTTTTAAAAGGCACAGAAAAAAAGGAATGGAAGGAAATATATTAAAATTAAAAGAAAATGTTTACTTTTTTGCATAGTCTCAGTCATCTATTAGGAACACTTAACACTGTCAAAATCTCAGTGAAAAGCCTTCTTTAAAAATGACTTTTGTTAAAACTTCCCTCTCTCCAAAAACAGGTTTTAAAAGAATATGCAAGCTAAAATACTGGACCAGGACTATAAAATTTAATGCTAATGTCAGATGAGTCACGGCAATTTTTAAAACCTGAGTTTTTCCAAACTACTGCTGTACATCTTTAAAATAATGTACAGAATCCATATTAAATACGGTAGATCAGTAAGTTTTATAATATTCTAATGATAATGAATCCTCTCTTTCTAGCTACTAATGCAATATGAGAAAACATAAAAATGATTTTGAAGTGTTTAACTACTACCAAATATAAAAGAATTACTAAGAAACGTTTTATATCTGTCACACAGAAAACTAGCCAGTAATGAATTCTCAAATTCCTGCCAAGGGAAAGAAAAAACGAAAATGCATGGCTGTGAATCTATTATAATCATAAATTCAAGGTCCTGTCTAAAGACACAGCATCAATGTTTATAAAAAACACAACAAAGCGATATAGTCTCTACTGAACAAAGACCATGCCATAGTTTCATCTGGAGGTACATCAGGTACCAGGGTCTGTACACGAAGATATTCAAGGACCACAGGAGAAACATACATACATTCAGTGGAGCGATCTTCTCATCCTGGGCCTCTGCACTAGTGCTATTTTCTTGCAGGCTTTTCTCTCCTGTACCTCTTAACCGAGTGCTAACAAACAAACAAACAAACAACAGAATTAGTTTGCACTGACTGGACTTGGCCCTCTTCATCCCCATTCACTGTTTACCCTGTTTAGAATCTGAAAGGCTCTCTGGGGCATCATTAGGAACAAGTAACGAACACAGTGGGTGAACTGTATCAATACCCAACTGAAGCCAGGAATGCTTTCCTGGAGGTTTTTATCTCATTTGCTCTCAGGTAACTTGGCAAAATTTCCTCTTAAAAAAAATCTTTCCGAAGTCAAATTTCTAGGTCTGTGTTTCAATAAGAGCAAAATTAGAATATTCTAGCTATTTATGTTCTTCAAAGACTCTCAGAATGAGGCTGTTAGCAGAAAATGAGGACTAAAGTTTTGAGAAGGCATTAGCCTATTCCTCGTGGCTACGCACCTCAGCGGCCCAGAGCTGCTACCTCCCTGCCCACTCCGCTCCGCTTTCTCCTTGATTTTCGGCAAACCGTGTGTTTTGCCCTTTCTTTTCAGGCCTAAGAGAGGGCGGTACGGTACGTTTTAGAGCGAAAGCCTTGGAGGTCCATCCTGCTGCGGCCCAGACGCGCCCGCCACCCCCACCCCGCCCGCTCCATAGGCCAGCCGGGTGGGGCTTACAG